TTCGTAAAATGAGATCTTCTGGTAGATGGGGTTGTGCTTAATCTATACATGTTGAACTGTTTTAGTAGTTTTAAGAATATAAGCATATAAGTGCCTCATGTATTAAGGTGATTTTGGAAGTGCATTAAATCTGTTTCCAGAGCTAGATTCACAATTAGGAATTTCCTTGTTTGAGAAAGAATGCCAACTGAATCAAATGTCTTTTGTTGGTGAACCTCCATTGATCGTATTCAATGTAAATGTGGGGTTGTAAACCCATTAACAATATAGTTTCACTGGGTTGGATGGTTGAAAGCTGCATTTACTGTCCTGGCCCTTCTTTAGTAGTTCCCTGCCCAAGTATGCACTTGGTGTCTTCACACCACGTCACTATTAATTTCTGATTATTGGTAATGGTAGCTAAGGGAGTTGCCGTGTAGCTTGCTTACTGCAGTAGAATATGCCTAAACATTTATACCGAGTTGTAGTGGCCCTCGTTCCGATCAATTGTAAAGGCATCTTCTATGGTGTCTCAATTCATTGTAACCAGTTCGTTAATCAATAATACCATTCTTCCCGTCTTTTTCTCATGAAAATTGCTCCGTTTAGATTTTGGACCAATCAATTGTGCTTTAACTTATCCTCAAACTTCCTCTCCTGATTTCATTGCAGTGGGATCCTGATACGGACGTTGGCAGACGCTTCACATGAGCGCCATGGTCTTTCAGCCCCACAGATAATCTTCACTGTAGTTGGCTTCTCTTTGACTCTGGCTACCACAATTTTCTTCACGGTGTATGCAAAAAGGCAGCTTAAGGAATTACAAAAGGACGAAGAGCCACTGCTGCACTAAAGCTTATGGTTCTAGTTTCGGTTGCAGGAAGACGGAAACACGGTGCGGGATGAAGTTATTTTACCATAGGGCTTCTTCCGTTGAGCTGTCATTGTATTGAATTGATGCAAATATGAATAGTGTGGAAGACGCGGAGGAGAAGCAGCCATGACATGCATTCAAGATGCTTGACACTATTATACCAGGCAGGCATGTTTTTTCTTTAAAACAAGTGTTGATTTGTTCTCTCTCTCTCTCTCTCTCTCTTAATTATCTGCTGTATATGATTGAAATGATGCTTCAATGATTGGAATTGAGCTCTTGCAAGATTCTTGACTGTATATAACGAACGACTCATTAGTTTATTGATTTAGATTCCCCCCTCGCTCTCTAGCATATTGATACGTTGGCTATTATCGATACTTTGATCACATAGGACGAGTCAGCTGGTTTGGCTTTAGTTTTTCTCCTTCAAATAATGAAAACGAGAAACTGTAAGATGCCTTGTTACTTGCTAATGGTTCTAATTACCGATTCGTGTTTACCTAAAAGAACAGAAAACAATGTCGGAATATCGAAATTTTCAACTTAAATTAAACTATTAAATATATATATAAAATTGTCATAACTTGCAAAGCGTATTCCGCCAGAGGTTATCTTTTGTGGTTATTCATGTTATGTTGACCAAAAATCTATAAATTATAGCCAACAAGGGGTGGAACAGTGGTTAATGACGAATTCCAGACCCGTATTTCACAAGGCAAGTTTTGGGTTCGATTTTTAACATTGATGAATCACACAATGGTCGTCAGAAAGAAGTTGAAATGTTTATACGAGTCTTCTGGCCCTTAGAATGGTGAACTGAATCACACAATAATGGTCAGGAGGAAGTTGAAAAATTAGCATATCATTAGCACTTAGCTAAGCTTGTTGATTCATAAATTGGTGCGCATTTTGGTATTTGATTTTCTCATTAAAAAAATTTAATTTCTTGTATGAATCGATACATGTATGAGAACTACTTATTTTATCTTGACTAGCAGTCAGAATTTGTCCAAATCTTAATAAAATTCATTGAACCAAGGCCTCTTGTTTCATCACATATTGTGTTTTGTTCATAACACAATTTGTTCCAAGTTGTTGTCCCATTGCCATCCTACAAAACAATATAATAAATAATTGTATAAAAAAATAATTGTATAATTATATAATAGTTCCAACAGCCAAATATAATAAATAATTGTATAAAAAAAATATCTGAATTCAGGAATAAAGATGATGATTCCATGCAATGCAATAACAAATGTGAATAGCAAATTTTGTGTAGAGAGAGAACAAATATTTTTGGGTGCACGGAGTACCCGGTACATTTTTGGTGTTTTAACTGTTAGATTAAGATTTTTTATTTTTTACACAAAAATTTAACGTCTATAACACTTGAAGTACCGGATACTTTAGAACACTTAAAAGAGTCCCGAGAAATAAAAGAAATTTACAACTACCAAACCGTCCTCTGCCGTGCTTGCCGGACTAACCAACCAAACAATTCAATATTTTGTGGTGCAACCACGGTTCTTTTTTTCATTTTCGGGTTTTCGTCTTGGTGAAGGGTCCGATGATGCAGATAGAGGAGGGCATTAAGTGGGCAAAAAAACAGAAAATAAAAGATTAAAAAAGGTATGATAGGTCTATTTAGGACCACCAATGAAATAGCCAAATGTTGCCGTTACAATATGTGTATTTTTTCTATACAAGCGATAGTGGAGAGCGGGCCGTAGAACTCGGGACTTTGGTGTAATATTATTGTATTTGATGTAGTACAAGAGTTCGGTCAATTTTGATATAAAAAATAAAATAAATAAAATATTTTAAATTTTGGAAAGAAGAATTAAAATTGAGAAATGCTGGATTAAAGACGAAATGGTAAGAATTAAAGTTGAGATAGTAGATTGAAGATGAAATGGGCTGAAGGAAGGCAAACGGAAATTTACAAATTTGATGTTTGACTCCTACAACAGCATTTGAAAGTTTGTAATAAAAACGAAATTTTTTATTTTTCTATCCGATTAATGTCTTTTTATTTCCTAAGACCTCCTATGAACTTTCCAAGGTCTGGTTATGTCTATATAAGCCTTTTGGCTTCTATTGTATTCATCAATTAATAATTAATAACATAACTTTTTTAGTTCTCTCAAATTTTGATGGATCCTAGAAAACCTAGTTAATCAAGAGCATACGTTTGTATCCCTCTTTGCTCGTGCAACGTCAATATTCAAGACAATTTATTCATAGACTTTGGCGTAGTCAAATTAACTTATGCAAATATGCTTTACTCTCTTCATTCAACTTCGAGTCTCCCTCTATGCACTTATTAATTTACAATGGAACATATTTTGTATATAAAAATTACAAATAAAACAATCTTTTCTTCTTCAATTTTCTTTTAAAAGCAAATTTGAGGTGGGTCTGCAAAGTTTGCTGAGAAGATTCTTCCTAACTGGGTCAAATGCAGAGAGCATAGATGTAAACATGTACTCAATTGAGGGGAAAGTAAAACAGAGAAGGAAAAGACAAATTGACACAGTCAGCCATGTGTAAGGATCTAAAAACATCTCCAATACAAATCTGCAAATATGAGATGTAAAAAACATATTTAATTTTTTAATAATGCTAGAGAGATCAAAATTTTAAATTAAATTTGCAAATTAAATTATGTGTCACCAATAAAAAATAAGTACGTTAACCAACATGTAAGTAATAATCCAATTTATGTTTAACAGAAATAATAAAAGTTGTGTGATTACCGGTTTAAAAATAAAAATAAAACACTTAAATATGTTAGGCATTTGATGTAAGACCAACTCCAACCCTTGGAGTAAAACCTATAATTTCCCTTCTATTCCCTCTCCCCCCCCCCCCCAAAAAAAAAATCCATTCCAACCCTAGTTCTAATTTGAAGTTAGAAGCTAAAACCGAAAAAAATGCCAGATTCTGTCCAAGAAATAGCCTAGAAAATGGTGTAGGCCCCACCAGTAAGAGTGGAACTCGACGCTTGAATGCTAGACGAACACTTCAGACGCGACCACTCGCACCAAGGGCAGGGAACGGCATGGCCCCACCCACGTGGGCATGTCGATCACTTGCGTCAGACTCCAACGGCCTACAATCAAATTTTTTTTTTTAGTTTTATATTTATATATTTATTGAATCCAATGGCTGAAATCAAACATAATCAAATCTAATGGTAAAAAAAAAAAGATCTAACGGCCCAAATTTAAATCAAACAGCTAAAATAATTATAAAAGATTATTTAACTCAAAATTCACCCAAAAATTCTATAAACACCCAAAATCCACCCATCTCTATCACGATTTTATTCTTCTGTAGGGTTCAATGAGTTTCATGTGTCGATTTAGTGATTTTTCAATATTAATTGGAATTTAAATATTTTTAGGTTAAAATGTTCATAAAATTAATTTAGGATGGTCTACATAATTTTTTTTTTAAAGTTAATTTAAAAAAAATAGCCTAAATTTATTCTTTAATAATCTGGGGCTAAAATTTTAGGCCATAAGGATTGAAGTAAAAAAGCTGTTTAGGTTCAAACCTAAATTTTCTAGGCTACAAATTGTAGGTTTTACTTCAAAGGTTAAAGATGGTCTAAGGCAAGTTGAGTGCCTTTAGAAATAACAAAAAGCTTATTTGACGCCATTGCTTCATGGTGTCCATTTTGACGTCCTGACACTCAGCCTTCTTTTTTATGTCAGGTTTGATATCTTTGTTGGATTAAATGATACATTATTTATAACTGTTACATATTTATGTGATATTTTTGACATCTCCTTTGAAGTCGGAGATAGTTTTACAAGACTTATTCTATCTCTGCCTTGACATGCTCAAAGATGGGGAGTTGAGGGAACTTGACATCAAAGTTAATGCAGACGATTGTCACATCCAGCTGGAAAATAGTAGGTATGCAAATGCAACGTTAAAGTAGACTTTTTCTTCCTCCTCTTCTTTTATGGATTTCTAAATCAATTGTTGTTTTATTAAGAGAACAATATGCTTAATTAAGTGATTAATTAACTAATAATATTTGTTAAACAATTAAAAAAAAAAGAAGCAACGAAACCAATGTCTTATCAAAGTCTCAAAGTCGTCTACTTAGAACGGTTCAATGCAAAAGCAGAAGACAGAGAGAGATCGAGAGAGGAGTTCTTGTCAACTAATAGTAGAGACAAATTAAAAACACCTTCTTCTTCTTCTTTCTTCCTTTTTCTTTTTTCTTTTTTCTTTTTCCTTTTTTTTTTTTCCTTTTAATTTTCTTTGGATAGTTTAGTGTGACTGGAATCGGGGAATCGGTAGCTTGGTTGGTGGGGAAGAATGAATGCTGTGAGAGAGATGCAGACCCAACTTGGTCCTAGAGAGAGAAACACACACTTTGCTTTCTCTCTCTCCTCATTGTTAGTTGAACATTATCATTGTGTTTAGACAGACCATAGTACACAGAGCTTAGAAAAAGAGAGAGAGAGAGAGAGAGAGAGCATGCACGTGGTTGAGCATCAGTTTAAGTGGAGGCAGAAAACCTGCTGAGCTTCCCGACTATTATAAGCCGTGACATTAATTTTTGGCTCCCACTCTCTCACCTGCTTCTTTCCAGCCAACCCAAACCCCCACAGCTCACACACTGACACACACACTATGTTCCTCAAATTTTCTTTTCCCCTTCACAATTAACCCTATAACTCCCTGCCTCCCGTTACTTCTCTTTGTCCCTCCTCCATTCTTTCAAGCCAAAAAGCTCAAATTTTGGTGCTTTGATTCGACCCAGAAGCCAAAACGCTTCTTAAATTTTGGATCTTTCGTTGTTCCTGAATCCTGAGCCTTCACTGAGACAAACCCAGAAGCCAAAATCGTCTCTTTCTGTGCAAATGTGGTGGAACTCTCAGAGATTTCTGCAATTCCAGCAAAACCCAGAAGTGAAAAATGCTGATTTTTTACCATGATCGTGACGGGGCGTTTCGGATACTCGAAAACAAGTGCAACAATGGCAGCAAAGTAGGAATCGGATCTTATCTGCTTCAGATCCAATTACCATAATGCCAAACGGGTACCCCTTTTTTTTACTGCACATATTTACTGTGTAAGTAATTAGCATGAGAAAGCTTCATACATTTCGCCTTTCTCCTGCCCTGTTGTGCTTTGCTGTTGCTTTATTTTTGGCAATCATTGGTGTTACTTCAGTAACTGAGAAGGAGATTTTACTTCAGTTCAAAGGGAATGTAACGAATGATCCGTACAATAGTTTAGGCTCATGGGTTTTTACTGGGAATCCTTGCAAGGATTATGGTGGTGTGTTCTGTAACTCTGCTGGGTTTGTAGAGAAGATAGTCTTGTGGAATACTAGCATTGGTGGAGTGCTGTCTACGGCTTTGTCCGGGTTGAAATATCTGAGGGTTTTGACATTGTTTGGGAACAGATTTTCAGGAAGTATACCAAACGAGTATGCCAAGATTCAATCATTGTATAAGATCAATTTTAGCTCAAATGCGCTATCTGGGTCGGTTCCTGAGTTTATAGGTGACTTGCCTAGCATTAGGCTTCTTGACCTGTCGAGGAATGGTTTTACCGGGCAGATTCCATCGGCTTTGTTTAAGTACTGTTACAAAACCAAGTTTGTTTCTCTGTCTCATAACTTTCTTTTGGGTTCAATTCCGGATTCATTGGCGAATTGCTCGAATCTTGAAGGGTTTGATTTCTCTTTCAACAACCTCAGTGGTGGCATTCCTTTGCGACTTTGCGATATTCCCAGGTTAGATTATTTGTCACTGAGAAGGAACGGCTTATCAGGGAGTGTTGTACAGCAGCTTTCAGCGTGCCAGAGCTTGAAGCTATTGGATCTCGGTAGCAATTTGTTTACTGGTTCAGCACCATTTGAGGTTCTTGGATCGAGCAATCTTACTTATTTCAATGTATCGCATAATGAGTTTACTGGTAAGCTTCCTGATTTTACAACTTGTAGTGAGAGAATGGAGTATTTGGATGCTTCATGGAATGAGTTGGATGGAGAGGTTCCTCCGAGCATTACAAACTGTAGAAGTCTCAAGGTTTTGGATTTGGGGTACAATAGGTTGAGTGGGAGCATCCCAGAAGTTCTTGGAAATCTGGATACACTTGTCGTGATTGAATTGAGTAATAATTCAATAAGCGGAACTATTCCAGAAAGCCTTGCAAGCATTCAGCTACTTCAGGTCATGGATTTGCACAATCTCAACCTCGTTGGTGAAATACCCCATGATATAAGAAATTGCATGTTTCTTCGTGAGTTGTGAGTCCAAATACATTACTAACTTGTTTACATTTACATGAAAATGCATTTGAATCTAAGCGAAAATATCTTATGTTTGTTGTTTCTGCAGGGATGTTTCTGGTAATGCCTTGGAGGGAGAAATTCCTCAAGGTCTTTACAACATGACTTACCTTGAAATCCTTGATCTCCATAAAAATCAGCTCAATGGAAGCATCCCGCCAGACATAGGAAACCTGTCCAGATTACAATATCTGGATCTTTCACAAAATTCACTTTCGGGGCCAATTCCTTCTTCCCTTGGAAACCTAACAAAGTTAACCTATTTTAATCTCTCCTCCAATAAGCTTTCAGGCACCATTCCTACAGCTATTCAAGGTTATGGCTCCTATGCATTTATAAACAACCCCTTCCTCTGTGGTGCTCCTTTGGACACACCTTGCTCAGCAACTGGTAATGGTACTATGACTCCCACTTCGAGAAAACCCAAGGCTCTTCGTGTCCCTGCCATCATCGCAATTGTTGCAGCTGCATTGATTCTTATTGGAGTATGTCTCGTATGCATTATGAACATCAAAGCCCGTAGAAAGAAGCAAGCTGATGTGACATTGGTTGTTGAGAGCACGCCACTTGGCTCGACTGATTCAAATGTTATAATCGGTAAGCTGGTTCTCTTCAGCCAAAGTTTGCCTTCAAGGTATGAAGACTGGGAGTCCGGCACAAAAGCGTTGCTTGACAAAGAATGTATAATAGGTGGTGGATCAATTGGTACAGTCTACAGGACGAATTTTGAAGGTGGTGTCTCAATTGCAGTGAAGAAGCTCGAGACTCTGGGAAGGATCAGAAACCAAGATGAATTTGAGCAAGAAATTGGACGACTGGGCAACCTTCAGCATCCCAATTTAGTAGCATTTCAAGGCTACTACTGGTCCTCGACAATGCAGTTGATGCTATCAGAATTTGTTCCAAATGGGAATTTGTTTGACAATCTACACGGCCTTCATTATCCAGGTCCGAGCACTAGCAGAGGCAATAGTAAGTTGTACTGGTCTAGGCGATTTAAGATTGCTGTGGGAACAGCAAAAGCACTTGCCTACCTTCACCATGACTGCAGGCCTCCTATTCTGCATCTCAACATTAAATCCACCAACATACTGTTAGATGAGAAATACGAGCCAAAGTTATCAGATTATGGGTTAGGGAAATTGCTTCCCATCTTGGATAATTACGGTTTAACCAAATTCCACAATGCAGTTGGATATGTTGCACCAGAGTTGGCTCAGAGTCTGAGACTAAGCGAGAAGTGTGATGTGTATAGCTACGGAGTGATTCTTTTGGAACTGGTCACAGGGAGGAAACCGGTAGAGAGTCCAACTGCAAACGAGGTGGTGGTTCTGTGTGAATATGTTAGGGGGTTATTGGAGAATGGCTTTGCTTCAGATTGCTTCGACAGAAGCTTAAGGGATTTTGTAGAGAATGAACTGATTCAGGTTATGAAATTAGGGTTGATTTGTACATCTGAGCTCCCTTCGAAAAGACCAAGCATGGCTGAGGTTATTCAGGTTCTTGAATCCATCAGAAACGGATTGGAGGCTTAGTTTGCCTCAGCATCAGATCAACGATGCATCTTCACCGGAGAAGAGGTCAGGATGATAGTAGTTAATTTGAAATGAAGGTTGGATTAGTTGGGGAGAGTAGGAGGGTTTTGCATATAGGGAAAAAAAGATACAATTCATTGTATTCATTTGGGGTTTACCAAAACCAATTGTTTTCTTACATTCTTCAAGCCTGCAAATAAAAACATTCATTTACTGTATGTCATTGATAGACTAATACTTATTAAGAAATGTAGTAGCATTTTGTTCTGGTTTCATGTGCACAAATGGATGGAGAGAGAGGGAGAGAGAGAGGAGAGAGGAAAGAACGAAATTTTCCTGAAACTCTTCGATGAGAATTAACTGCGAGTAATTTTTTGCGGTGAGTCACACCAATGCAGCTTCCACGTATGTTATAGCACGTCTATATTTGCTAATACCGTGTGAAAATTGGTTTGTGTACCCTTTTTCTCTCCATGCATACCTCTGTTTGATTTTAACCCTTAAATTGAATAAATCATAGGAGACTCAATGATAGAAACAAACTAAGGTGTGTAGGAGAAAAATGGTGTCCGAAAAGCATTTCACTACTACACCTTAAGTACATAACATTTCAACTATGTTGTTCATCCACATTATAACGTGTGAATTAGTAAAACCTTGTAATAGTGAGCGGTTCAGTAGGAGAATTTCTCCTTTTTATTACAAGATAAACCAATAACCAAGTGTATTCTATTTGGGTTAAGGGCTTTTACAGTTTGCTCATGCCCCTCTATATAAACTCATCTCAAATTTGAAGGCCTAATTGCTTAGAAATGCAATGAGCTATGAGTCCTCTTTAAACTAGCACATGAAAAGCACTAAAATTTGAGAGCAATTTGTATGGCGTGCGTAAATTGCCACGATAGCGTCCTATGCTGATGATACATGAACATATGAAGAAAAATTAATACACATCCTTCTGCCGATTATACAAGAACATATGAAGAAAAACTAATAAACGTCCATATGTTATTGGCACGGAACACCACTGTAGCAGTATACTCGTGCCATCCAGTTACTCCTAAAATTAAGGAGCTATTATATTGGACTTGGTCAATTGGAATTTTGATTGTGCTTAGTTCTTGGATCCAGTGTAAAGCTCTGTAATGACCTAAACAAGAGTGTCTCTGAAGTTACAGCAAGAGCTATTTCTTAAGAAAAATTCTATGCAACCTGAACCTGGAGAATGAATGAACAATATTTCAACTGTGCGATTTACAGGTTTCGGAAATTTTCCGAATTCGTTCCATAACAACCGGAATATCTTTTTCAGTCAACGTTGTAAAACAAAACCGAAACCATCCGGGTTCAATACAATGACATGATGAACCTGGAGTTACATTTAGCTTAGCTACATTCAACAACCTATCCCAGAGCTCAAACTCCCCTTTCTCGCTGTAAGAGCGGATTAACCCGCTCATGTCAGCCCAACAGCTGAAGCCCCCATTGCTCTTTGTGCACTCAATGCCCAATTGCTTCAAACCTGTCACAAATTTTAGGTACATTGCACGGAGCCTTTCTCTACTAGTATCAATGAACTTCCGGATAAATTTGGTGTCTGAAAGCATAGAGATGAGCAACCGTTGAGATGGGGAGGAAATGGACGAGAACCTTGTCAACTTTTTAGCAGCAGCCAGAACATTCTTGTTATAGGAGTAGATAGCGCCGGCCCTAAAACCTGGAAGAGAGAGGTCTTTCGATAGACCATATACTATATGAACTCTGTTCCGGTCCAGATCTTCCGATTCAACAATTTCTGCCATGCTTACAAACTCTTCACTACCATGCATCGATCCAGAAAATATTTCATTTGAGATTATATGTATGTTCTTCTCTCGGGCAAAGTCTAGAAGGTTGTAAAGTGATTCACGACTATATAAACAGCCAACAGGATTTGACGGATTTGAAATTATAATCCCACGAACCTTTAAACCGCGTTTCTTTGCCTGGTTGAATGCGCGGTCAAGAGCAGTTATACTCAAGTTGAATTTGTCAGCACTACGGCATGGAACAGGTATAATCTCTACTCCAGTTCGCCACTTTACATCTCTGTCCAAACTGCATATCACATTCAAAAAGTCATGATTCTTAGAGCTAGAGAGTAGAGATACTTAGAGACAGAAACTTTCTAGAAATGTTGACATTAATTAATAGTTATTACCCAGGGTAATACGGCGCCGGAACAAGAAATGCATTTCCACTGTCTGCTAGGCAGAAACTTAGTATCTCAATTGCAGGTGTTGCACCAGCTGTCAATACTATTTGCGAGGGGTCGAAGAAAACTGACTTCCCCATGACTTGAGACATGAATCCTGCCACTGCCTACAGGTCTGGAAAAATTAGAGAGGGCACAGAAACTCAATGCAGGGCAAAGAAAACTGACTGCCACTGTTTATATGGAGTGCTTATAACTGTTAGTTATAAGAAAACAGACTCGCATTCGACCAACAACTGCTAGTTCTAGTCTTCTAGAAAGATATACCATTTTCTAGCCGATTTGTGCAGATTATCAACTATAAAGTTCACAAGCAATTAATTGTATTCTACAGGCAATAAATCATTCGGAGAAACATTGAAACCACATTCAGTTAGCCACTTAACACCGATTGTCTCAAGTGACTTTGCTATTCTGATATTCCCCAAATTATTGAATCGGACCTAGACTAGGATAAAACTTTTGAACATTAGGTACATTTTGCACCAAAATCTCAACCATTTTGAGTCATAAGTTGGACACACTTTCTGAAAAGTTGGGTGCATATTCCACCAAAAGCTCAACCATTTTAGACATCTCAATTGTTATTCAAATAGAAAGCCAAAGCCAAAAGTCAATTTCCCATATTAACCAAACAAACCATACGAATCGATACAGAGAGTACAATATTGAAACTCAAATCAGGTTCCCGTGTTAACCAACAAAAACAATATATTCGAAATTCGACTCGGACCGTTACACGAAAGGACATAACTTCTAATATCAATTGGAATTTACATAATTTGTAATCACAAACTTGAAATAAGAGTAATATGAAACTTACCACCTTTAACTCCATCAATCCATCAAGAGGCTGGTAGCAAACAATACCACTAATTCCAAGCTCGTCGCCACCCAGAATCGCATCCTTTGCATTATCCACAAGCCAATTCCCAACCAAATCCAACGATAACTACACCATTAAATTCCCAAATTTAAAGTCTAAATTTAATCCCAAAAAATTTTGAAATTTGAAAAAAGCTGAAGACTTGAAGCAATACAAGCCAAAGCAAGCTCGACCCACCTTGTTTTCATCCAAACCCAATTGAATAACCCCATTCTGATTACCCAACTCGTCATACGGATCCTCCGCCACCTTCCTCAACCCAACGTCGTAGGGCGACTCGCCACCTTTCAGAACCGAATTGGCCCGACCCGATACGTAAACGGGTCCACCCGTGCCCCTCGGCGATAGGAGCGTCCGAGACAGGGACCTGGGCAGGACTGGAAGTTCCACCAGCTGTCCGGCCTGCTCGGACTCGGATTCCGGCGAAGGCGGAGGCGTAGGCGGGTTGGGGTTGGAGCGGTGTCTTTTCAGGTAAAGCTGGAGGAAATAGAACAAGGCGCACGGTATGAGCGAGCCCAAAACCAGACCTCCCCTGCCTTGGACGACGCCCTGGAGAGGGACTATAACTCTCATGCCGGTGGTTCCGCCGCCTCCGCCAGTGGATTTGGAGCGGTTGGTGTATGGGTCGGCGGGCCGGGTCCGGGTCATATTGGAGACATGTGCGGCGGGGTTGAATTAGGTGTTGGGGTCGTCGGAGAGTACAAAGCTTGGAGAAGATGGAGGCGGAGGAGGAAGAAGAGTAGAGGGGCAGCAAAGGCCAAAAGGGTGGTGTGTGGGTGACAGTGCGGGAATAGTGATTCCAATATTTGGGGCTTATTTGATTTGAGGAATGATGATTTTGTTATGTATGTGCGCCGTTCCTTTTGTTTGAGGCGAAGATTGGATCTAGTCGTTGGGATTTTTGGTGGGATATTGGACCTCACTTTTACTCTTTTAGCCTTTTCTCCGTGGAAATATTTTTTAATAATTAGAAAAAAAAATATATATGTGAAAAGTGCAGAATAAAATTTTAAAATACTAATAGCAGTTCTTAAAGAAAATTATATATACTTTTTTTAGCCTTTTTGTGCTTGTGACAGTTCAAACTAAGGCTCAGGTTTTAACTGGCTCCAAAAGTTTGATTATAACTCGTATTTAGCTCATTCAAACTTAGTTTATAACTTGCACGAACTAAGATTAAATATAATGCTTGTCCTATAAATAAGTCGAACTTGAGCTTTTAGTTCAGCTCATAAAACTCGTAAGCTGCATTTATTTACTTCACTTGCTTCAAGTAATAAAAAATGATTGAGTGGTGATGTTGATTTTAAGCAAGATTCTGGATCATGAATTGAACTTTACAGTATGGAGAGAGGATTCTGGCCAGATAATCTTTGTGAGGATCTCACGAATCATTCAATTACATCCGTTCATCGTATATCGCGCAGTCAGTTTTCACCAGGTACTGTTTATATTTAATTTTAAATAAAAAAAATTACAATAGTTTTTTATCGCATGATGTATGATACACATATGTGATTTGAGAATCCCGAGATAATCACAAAGAGAATCCGGCTAGAATCCTCTCTCTATAGTATGTTTAGATTACAAGATTTGACTAAGTGTCAAGAATTTTCATATTTAAAATATATGTCGCTACTCCAGTGATATTTCTCTTCACTTGTAAGTGAGAAGTCTTAGGTTCGATTCTCGCCAATTGCAAATTTGAACCATATTATTGTTAGTCTATTGTGAGGATTAGTCTACCCCCTCTCTCTTAAAATAGATGATATCGTTTGTTAAAAACAATAAAATATATATATGTCAAATCGGATTAAGCCCCCTTCTTAAGATAAATGATATTGTTTGTTAAAATATATATATATATATATATGGCAAATCGGATTAAACCTTCCATGTTCAAGGTACTCCTTCAAAAATTGTCTCTACTTAAAATAAGATCTCAAGATACTAACCCCACCCTTCTAAAGATAAATGATATTGTTTGTTAAATATATATATATATATATGTGTGTCAAATCGGATTAAACCTTCCATGTTCAAGGTAGTCCTTCAAAAATTGTCTCTACTTAAAATAAGATCTCAAGATACTATCGCGGGCTCATTGCCCATCTCCGCATCTCCTCACATGGAAATTAACTTTTTAAACTAGTCCTCAAATTTAAACTTCTAATAATAAAAAATCGAGCAATGGTGGATCACTTTGGTGATTAAGAATTGTTTCTTTAACTCATTACGTATTTTGTTTAAACTCTATTCTCATTTTTAATGTAACTTAGAGTAGTAAAATATTTATAATAAAAATAAGTTTTGATGTTTTCTATTCTGAACTTTCTAACTGTTAGATCTTCGTTATTGTGCCCTTGAACGAAGATTTAGCAGTTTGCGAAAAAAGCACCCAACATTTTAGGTCAACGCCCCATTTCGTATATTCTGCATCCTTTTATTTTTGCTAAAAATGAGGTCATCCCATGAATTTCCATACAAACTACTTTGGGTTTTATAGTAATTTCCTCCGCACTATAATTTAATCATATTCATATACTATGCAATATATTAGGAGACAAAACATAGTTTACATCTGACTAACTTGTACGGTTCTCCATTCATTTGAAATCCCAAGGTGGCAAGGAATCTCCACACAAGCAAAGTGTAGAATCTATACAACTAATAATTGATCAATCCTGACAAGTCTTTGTCTTAACACTAGAAAAACAAGCTTTGGGCGTTGTCACTTCTCATATCCACCACAAACCACAAAGGTACATGTTATGTAACATAGAAGAAAGATTATACGAGATTAGCTTTTTGAGAAAATGAAACATTTACTACAACAAAAATGCACACCGGAGATTCTTCTGTTTAACCGTTGTTTATCCTCTTATGTTATTTATTTTTGGTCCTCGAAGGGTTAAACAACTGATTACATGTAAGATTCTGCATCAGGGCACAATTAATGAAACGAGGCTTACCTCTTCCTCTCGTTGTTTTCCATTCTCCTAGTACGTCTACATGCATGTTGTGATAGTCCTGTAAACACTGACTTGTCACTTTCGTAAACTTTAGGTTTTGGTTGTTTTTCTTTGAGAGTTAGACAAGCCTTTGCGTTAGGACCATTTTTTTTTCCCTTCATTTTTTTTTTAATACCAAATTAATTATAAATAGATTGAAAAGTATTAAAATACATGAATATTAAATATATATGAGCTTTGATCAGGCTTTGAGTGTAAAATGAGGTATTGGGGTCAGCATTCAACATGCAAGTATTGCAAGCAACGTACCCAGTGTGGTTAAACTTCAAAAGATTGGATTACATTAATCCCGTCGTATACTTTGGATCACGCAAGCTTTAATAAGTTTGTGTTCATTCTTTTGAATGTGACTTATGGTTCGTGATTCTATACCATTTTTCATTTTTAAATTAAAGGACATATTTTTATTGGATTTTGATTTCAAAATGCTTCCAGATTTGACACCAAACATGTTGATATAGCTTTTGGATAAATTTGTTCGGTATCTCTAAAAAATATATATATTATGCCTCATCAATTTGATGTGTGCGTGTGTGTGTGTGTGTTTTTTTTTCTTTTTCTTTGAAGCTGTTAAATATTGCCGAAGTGTAAAGTAAGAAAAAAAAAAATGATCTGGCTATATAATGACTTATGTAAACATAAGAAATAAAAATTTATCGTGAAACTCATTGTCACATGATAGGAACAACTTGACGTAAAAATTATTTTACTCACTCAACACTGCATTATTTAGTTGAATTATGTGCAGAAAATTCCAGATAGTTTGACGTAGATGTTTGAGGCTTGTGTTGCATGCAAAACCTAGCTGGTTACGCATCTTCTAACGGAAAACAAAGACATCTTGTTTGGGAGGGATTAAGTCAGGTTGGAGGGTCTGAAGGTACGTAGTAATATGGCCTACTGGGTTGGCTTTTGTTAAAATCAAGTTCCAGCCGTAACTGTTGGCTTTATATTGGCATTAATATGGGACTTGCAACTTGTCTAAGAAAATGCTTTATATTTGTATATTTGGTGAGCACCACTAGTTTTGCAGCTTCATGCATGATGCAGCCTAATACATGATGATTTTGGCCAATAGTCAAAACTGAAGACTATATATAATGCATCGTTCTAGAAACAAAATAGAAGTCGTAGATGACAATTTATCATAATGGCAGAAAGCAATCATATATATTATGGTGTAGTTTAATTTTTACATATTCTCTTCCTTTTAACAGCTAACCATCTAATCCACCTACCAACGCTATAGCTCTACTAAAAAAAGAAAGGCTTATATTTAGTTACGTTCCTGAGAACTTAATTTCAATCTCACTTTGCCCACCAAAACTCAAAAATCACCAATTTGCCACTTTACTCCTTGGAACTAAATTTCAATACCACATTTGTCCCTGGAACTCAAAAGTCGTCACTTTACTCTTTAACGCTCAATGTTCACTCCACTTTGGCTTGTTTCTATATATTCCATTAATAACTGTTATGTTTACTTATGTGGCATAATTAGGTCCCACTTATGAATGATGCGGCACAAAACAAAAAAAAAAAACAAAAATTCATGGGTTTCATCTTTCCGACCCCTCTCTCCTTTCTCTCTCTCTCTCTCTCTCTCTCTCTCTCTCTCTCTCTACCGTTGCCTTTACATTCATCCCTTCTCCTCCACCTACAGTCACCTTATCATTAATTTCATTGATTTCATTATTTTTTATGTCATTTCAGCAGGAAATTAGGCATACTACCACTTATAAATTTTGAATGAATGAACTTATTTTTAATAAAATAGAAACAAGGCAATGTAAAGCGTATTTTGAGTTTCAAGGAGTAAAGTGACGAGTTTTGAGTTTCAGGGAGCAAAACTAGGATCAAAATCAAGTTTCAGAGAGTAAAGTAGTGACTTTCAAGTTTCAAGGGACAAAATGGGATAAAAATGAGTTCCAAGAAGTAAAGTGGCAGCTTTTTGAGTTTCAGATGGCAAAGTAGAATCGAAGTCAAGTTCTAGAGAGCGTAACTAAAAATAAGCCAAAAGGAAACAAAATGGACATCAATATAACCCTAAACCCTATGCCTGTATAGACATAGTTAATTTAAAAACCTAAAACGTGGACGTGAGTATAGTTATGTGCTCATTCTTATGCACCCAAGTTTGAATCCCCTAACTCCACAATATAAATTAAATTAAAGTAGAGTGTCGTTTTTAAAACTAAAAAAATTAAACCTTAAAGTTCTAACAAGTTGCTAACTTATTGTATAATATAAAAAGAACTAGACATAGATCCATCTATAACTGAAGAGTGGATCTTATAACAGAAGCAATAGGATTAAGAGATTTTTTTTGGCAAGCAAATAGGATTAAGAGATGAAAACTAACAATATGATAAGTCCATTTTATGAAGAAGGTTTTCTTACTTTTTTGACCTTATTTATTAAGACTTGTAATATGACATGATGGATTTAAAGAGTTTTAAAAAAATTTATTGCTAAGCCCAAAAGCCTCTTAGCCAGATAATGGACCAGCCCACATAATCTCAACGATAAGACTCCAAGCCCACAGTTGTCCAAATTTCTATATGCAGATTTCACTCAAGTGAAAACCAATAAAAAACCCCAGAAGGGACAAGAATCTGAGTGCCAAATAACTAATTTGTTTATTTATCTTATAACATGAACTATTTACTAAGAGGAGGAGGTTTAAGAGAAAGACTTTCTAACCACTGAGATAATTCACTATTACAACGCCAAAAATCTATTAGGAAAAAAAGAAAAAAAAAAAAAAAAACAAAGGAAAACAAAGTAGCACACTTGTTACAAGGTCAAAGATCAAGGAGGA